CACTGTTGCTGTCTTTCACTTTCTTTAATTTAAAGTTAATAAGCTTGGCGTCTTTTATCTTCAGATTCGAAATCTCTGATCACAGTAAATATCTTTGGATCATCAAAACCCCGGTTTTTTTTTTAATTAGTGTCACATGTTGCCCTGTTGCAAACGTGCTGTTTCCATGTTTTCTGATGTTGAAAATGTCGAATTAATCTATGCAGGATTCTTCTTTAGAGTTGATAATGTTGTTTAAAATTCGTTTTACCATAATTAACAATCCAAATAACTTTACTAGTCATTATTTACTCTCGGCTAGAGGTTAAAAAAGGAACGAAAATCAAAATGTTTCAAAGGGTTTTGCAGAATATTAGCGGTTATTTTGTCGGACATATTGCAGGAAACAGTTTCAGAGAGAAACCTATATCACAAGTTAGTTATTCATGCGTGGCGCTTTAAGGCATATTTCTCTTTCTTTTTCCAATTACTCTTTTTTTTCTTTATATTTCATCAATTTCTTCTTTTTAGTTCTTTTTCTTTTTTCCTTAATATTCTTTAATTCCTTTCTTTTTATTTCCTCAGTTTTTCTTCGATTTCTTTCTTTTCTCAATTTCCCTTTGTTTGCTCCTTTCTTCTAATTATTTTACTTTCTTAATTTTTCTTTCTCACTTGTTTTTTTTATCAATTTTTATTATGTTTTTAGCATTCTTTATGTTTAGTATATCAAATTATTCTCATATTAAATTTCTTAAAACATATTTTCATCCAATTCACATTCTATTATTTTCTGTTTCACTTATATTTATTTTGATCAGTCATAACAAACAATTTCGCTTCCTGTTCAAAGATTTGCCGTCTAACTGGGTCAACATCTACAATAACACAACGTTTTCACCCTTGGACTTTCATAAAAATAACTACAACTATGACGTAATTCTTTTTTTTCCTGATCTGACCCTTTCACTTTTTTTATCAAAATTCAAATTTTGTTCGATATTGTTCTTCTTTCTTATGTGTCATATCCATTCAGGACGTAGGCGATCATGGATCTCTACAATTTCCTGTCTTTCGTAGTTATATTTTGTCTTTTTGTTATTTCTCCTAAACTTTGATCCGCCATCTATTTATTCAAGCTCATTAGTTTGTGCATTATATATATATATATATATATATATATATATATATATATATATATATGTATTATAATTTTTAAATACTTTTACATTCAACATCATCACTTGATAAGACAAACAAAATGGCTATTTTTGTAGTGATTTTATAACATATTTATGTTATAATTTTTAAATAAATAACTATATATATATATATATATATAAAAGTTGTAAACCGTCTTTCATGTCCTGACGACAATAGGAAAATTATATATAATATAATATAAAAAATATAGATATTTTAAAAGCATAAATATTTTTTGAAAAATTAAATTTAAAGTAAAGTTTTTATTAATAATAAAAAATAATTTAACAAAGAAAATATTTTAGAAAGCATAAATAAGTTTTAGACAACTAAATTAAATCGTTTAGTAAAATTTTAAAGGTTCCCCCACCCCAGCATGTTTAAAACGATTGAGTATATTTAGAATAATTTGTTAGTTTTTGCATTCATTTTTAAAATTTTATATTTAAACTTTTAAAAAATATTAATTTCAATAAAATGGTAAAAGAGAGTTAAAAATTTCCTGATTAAAAATATCGAAAAAGATGATATATAAGTTCGCGGAATATCTGATTGTATTAAAGCTACTGAAAATTTTCCCCAAAAATATCTTCAGGAATTTATTCGGTTGTGTTTTTACAATTTTTGTTTCGAATATTTAAATAAATAAATAACTTTTTTCAAACAATTGTATTTAATATTCTTCTTCTTTTAAATTTACTTTGATGTTTTAATATTCATTTTTTTAAGTTACGCTTTTATTTACTATAGATATGAAAATAAATTCAAGAGAATAGAAAATTTAAAAATACATCTTCCGTTTCGAAAATAATTAGCAGTATTAAAAAGTAAAAACGAACGGGAATAATTATTATTCCCGTTCGTTTTTACTTTTTAATTAAGAGAATTTCGAAACGCTTACATGGCTAAAAATGCATTCTAATGCAATTACATATTTTGACTTTGAAAATATCTTCGCAAATACACATCATACGATGAGAATTTTTTTGCAAAAAGGTAGGTTGGGTGATACTGAGTCTGTATATATATTTATTTTGTCATATTTTTTTTTTTAATTTTAGCTAGGGACACATACAGAAAACTGTCCTTTTTGATGACTTCTATTAAAACTCTATTAAAACTTCTATTAGATGACATCTATTAAAACTCTATTAAAACTTCTATTAGATGGCTTCTATTAAAACTTCTATTAGATGACTTCTATTAGATGACTTCTATTAAAACTCTATTAAAACTTCTATTAGATGACTTCTATTAAAACTATATTAAAACTTCTATTAGATGACTTCTATTAAAACTCTATTAAAACTTCTATTAGATGACTTCTATTAAAACTTCTATTAGATGACTTCTATTAAAACTTCTATTAGATGGCTTCTATTAAAACTTCTATTAGATGACTTCTATTAAAACTCTATTAAAACTTCTATTAGATGACTTCTATTAAAACTTCTATTAGATGGCTTCTATTAAAACTTCTATTAGATGGCTTCTATTAAAACTTCTATTAGATGACTTCTATTAAAACTCTATTAAAACTTCTATTAGATGACTTCTATTAAAACTCTATTAAAACTTCTATTAGATGACTTCTATTAAAACTCTATTAAAACTTCTATTAGATGACTTCTATTAAAACTTCTATTAGATGACTTCTATTAAAACTTCTATTAGATGGCTTCTATTAAAACTTCTATTAGATGACTTCTATTAAAACTCTATTAAAACTTCTATTATATGGCTTCTATTAAAACTTCTATTAGATGACTTCCATTAAAACTCTATTAAAACTTCTATTAGATGACGTCTATTAAAACTTCTATTAGATGACTTCTATTAAAACTTCTATTAGATGGCTTCTATTAAAACTTCTATTAGATGGCTTCTATTAAAACTCTATTAAAACTTCTATTAGATGACTTCTATTAAAACTCTATTAAAACTTCTATTAGATGACTTCTATTAAAACTTCTATTAGATGACTTCTATTAAAACTCTATTAAAACTTCTATTAGATGGCTTCTATTAAAACTTCTATTAGATGACTTCTATTAAAACTTCTATTAGATGGCTTCTATTAAAACTTCTATTAGATGACTTCTATTAAAACTCTATTAAAACTTCTATTAAAACTCTATTAAAACTTCTATTAGATGGCTTCTATTAAAACTTCTATTAGATGGCTTCTATTAAAACTTCTATTAGATGACTTCTATTAAAACTTCTATTAGATGACTTCTATTAAAACTCTATTAAAACTTCTATTAGATGACTTCTATTAAAACTCTATTAAAACTTCTATTAGATGACTTCTATTAAAACTCTATTAAAAACTTCTATTAGATGGCTTCTATTAAAACTTCTATTAGATGGCTTCTATTAAAACTTCATTAGATGACTTCTATTAAAACTTCTATTAGATGACTTCTATTAAAAAACTCTATTAAAAACTTCTATTAGATGACTTCTATTAAAACTCTATTAAAACTTCTATTAAAACTCTATTAAAACTTCTATTAGATGACTTCTATTAAAACTCTATTAAAACTTCTATTAGATGGCTTCTATTAAAACTTCTATTAGATGGCTTCTATTAAAACTTCTATTAGATGACTTCTATTAAAACTTCTATTAGATGACTTCTATTAAAACTCTATTAAAACTTCTATTAGATGACTTCTATTAAAACTCTATTAAAACTTCTATTAGAACTCTATTAAAACTTCTATTAGATGACTTCTATTAAAACTCTATTAAAACTTCTATTAGATGGCTTCTATTAAAACTTCTATTAGATGGCTTCTATTAAAACTTCTATTAGATGACTTCTATTAAAACTTCTATTAGATGACTTCTATTAAAACTTCTATTAGATGACTTCTATTAAAACTCTATTAAAACTTCTATTAGATGGCTTCTATTAAAACTTCTATTAGATGACTTCTATTAAAACTTCTATTAGATGACTTCTATTAAAACTCTATTAAAACTTCTATTAGATGACTTCTATTAAAACTTCTATTAGATGACTTCTATTAAAACTCTATTAAAACTTCTATTAGATGGCTTCTATTAAAACTTCTATTAGATGACTTCTATTAAAACTTCTATTAGATGGCTTCTATTAAAACTTCTATTAGATGACTTCTATTAAAACTTCTATTAGATGGCTTCTATTAAAACTTCTATTAGATGACTTCTATTAAAACTCACCAAGAAAGTTTCAATACTTGAAAATGCACATTAAGTCTGACGGGAAATTTTTAACAAATGGGAAAATAATAACTGACGTTATTATTATTATTATTATTATTATTTTGTAGCTACATAGTCTTTCCTACAACCAGGAACGCATTTAGCCATTCCAACAGACCATAATGTGAAATGTGGGTGAGTTTTTATACCGGCTACATTTAGGGGAACGTAAAAACACATAACCCTATCTCGCGTCTCCGTAACATAAGCTCACAAATACCTACCTCTGGATATCTGTATTTTCAATAGAAGAATGTAAGCATCTAATAACAATTCAACTAAAATTGAAGCAATATGTGCGTAGACGCACCGACCGAGATTACTCGACAAAAAGCTACTGTATGAAGACGAACATGATTATTTCCGTTTCTCAATAAAGTGACCACCCACACTAAGATATTCCACAACTTATCTGGCCCATTTCTTAACCAGCTGTCTTAAATTTAACTTAAACCGAAGATAATCGGTGCAAATTATTTTAAACGGTTGATTTCAATATTCGTCTACGTTGACTATCGTACATGACCTATAGCTTATTTACATCTATTTAACAAATAAAAGGCTTACGGCAATATAATATTGAAACACCAGTTCTCGTACAATAACCGAAGTTAAGCAACGTTGAGCATAGACAGTAGCAAATGGGTGACCGTTTGGGAATACCAGGTGCTGTAAGTTCGGGTGTGCAGGTGGTTTAATGGATAACGGTTCGGAATTGGAAATCGGAGAGCCAAGTTTCAATTCTAGTTGGGTTCGTTGTATTCAATTATGTGCAAATACTATTCTCCGCCAGCTATGGATTAATTAATAGGAATACTATTAAAATAGAACTTACGGTTACATCTAACGATTTCAACATGAAAATGATGAGACCTAGTTGCCAATTTAATAGTACAATTGAATTCGTGAGTGACGAGGTATTAAGGAGGAGAGCTCATAAGAACAACTGCCATGAAAATATTTATAGAAAAGACAAAGGGAGACCACGGCGGGAAGTCGACTGAAGTCGAGACGGCAAGTCAGGACTGATTACATTACAGGCCCTCCATTGGATTTTCTCGAGAATCTCTAGATATATTACAGTAGCTTCAGACCAGATATGGTAGCAATATTCAATGCACGGGCAAATGGTAGATTTATAAATGTGCAAGATGGATTCTGAAGAGAAAAATTGTCTGGCACGACACAGTAAACCAAATTTCCTAGCGACAGGCCAAGCAATTGATTCAATACAATCATTCGAATCCCTGTCAGTGGAAAACGTGAGTTTAAGAAGCCACAAAGTGTTGCTCCCCTGGAGGTTAGCATCAACCATGCTAATGGAAGACAAATATTGTCCTCTGTAGTGATTAAATGAAAGCTGTTTCGTTTTTGATGCGTTGAAATTTACAAGCCATTTTTTACTTCAGTTAACAACTCATTGGAGGTCATTTTCAATAGAGCAGATGTCAATTTTATTTTGTTGGCCCTATCGGATTTACTATTAAGACAGAATTACAGAGGGGAATCAACAGCATAAATATCTAGTTGGGAACTGATGACATCAGCAAGGTCGTTGATGAAGATACGAAACAACATAGGTCCAAGGATAGAACCCGGGGGTGGGGACCCCGCATTAATGTGAAAGGATCTAGATGCGTGGCCGTTCAAAACGATATTTATTACATGATTTGTTAAAAATGATTTAAGTCAAATATTCGACCAGAGGCACTGTAGCCCTTGAACTTGTGGAGGACCTCAACATATCAAACCTTGTCAAATGCATTCGGGATATCCAAAGTCGCAGTCCGAACCCCACGTTCTTATCTAAAGCTTGATAGACAAATTCAGGAATAAATATTAACACATCAGCTGTTGACCTCGAGAAACGAAAGCCATATTGTTTATTTGAAAGAAGGTCGTTTGAAGTGAATTTAAGTTATTATTTAACTTTAAGATAATCCAAGTAAATTTATTTATTAATAAATATAATTAAAATTTTAACTACTTTATTTTATTGTAATTTAAAGAAAAGATATAAATAATATTAAAGAAGTAAATGTTATTAAAATCATTCTGCAATGCTAAAAGCATTACACAATTCATATTCTCACAAAAAACTTCCACTTTACATCTGTTTAGTAAAAGGTGTTTACTGTTCATGTTTTGTAAAACAGTTTCTTCGTTTCAACGGGTTTGAGCTAACGTCAATAAGACCGAGTTGGCTTCATTAAATTTTGTTTATATAACATAAAGCATAAAATTTATTCAAGTCAAGGCCATGAATTATGAAGTCGTAAAGAGCTATTTTCCTTTAAAGAAAACGGAAATTAAAATCATTAAACATTTTAAAGATTATTCTTTACAATTTTAGCAGAAATGTGTTAAACCGTCTCATGAGATTAGAACGATGAAGTTTTGTTTATTCGTTTCACCAGACTGGATTGAATTTGCTTCAAAAATCTTTTTTTTCTTTTCATACAATATGTGTATGAATACTAAATTTACTTAAGTCAATATTCAAATTTATGAAGATGAAACAAAACTATATCAACTGAAAAATATTGAATCAAAATTAATCGAGAGTTATTTTTATTCGTAATAGTTCTATTCTGCTGAGATATCGCTTGTTGGCCTGAAATAGACTTAATAATTGGGCTACTTTCGCTGAGCTCAAGTAGTCCAAGTATTAGTTTTTGCTATGAAGGATGTATCAAAAATACTTTTACAAACAGAGGTGGTGGGTTCCTCACACCAAAACATGGACAAAAATCCATATAAAGATATTTCCACAAATTCTTCGTTTTTTTTTTAAGTTTTAAGTTTACAGTAGATAGTGCTGTGTCGCGACTAGGGCTAGGCTATATTTGTCATTTGTGTACGTTTGTGGCTAATCTGTCTTCAATGTTTAACGTGTAGTAGTGAGTTAACTGAGAAGTGTTCCGTTTAATAATGTCAGGATATTCATATCGTGTGAAGGCAGATATGATTTTTACATACGGCCGTGCGAACTCTAATGGGCGCGAGGCTACACGGTTGTATCGGATTGCGTTTTCAGACAGAAAGCGGCCAAGTCATCCAGCATTTGTTGCTGTTTATCATCGCGTTGTTGAGACAGGATCCGTGGCACCAGAAACTATGGATCGAGGAATACCGAGATCCGCTCGTACTCCTGACTACGAAGAAAATATTCTACGGGTTGTCGGACACAATCCAGGTATCAGCAGACAATGGCCCTAGCATGTCGTATATCCCATAGTACAGTATGGAGGGCACTTCAAGAGCAACTCCTGTATTCGTATCATTTGAAATGTGTGCAGGGTCTTTTGTTTTCTGATCACTCACAACGGAAGAACTTTTGCCGATCGTTTATTGCAAAAACTTCCGATCCTTAGTTTGTCTCTTCAAGCTTGGTTACGGATAAGGCAACATTTGGAAGATGGAATAACAAATTTACACAACCAACATTTCCGGGTGGATCGGAATCCCCATGGTACAATACAGTCTAGATATCAGCATCACTTTACGATTAATGTGTGGGCTAGAATTGTAGGCGACTGTCTAGTAGGTCCATATGTTTTCCCAGCACGTCTTACAGGAGCTGTCTACAAGGAGTTTATTTCGAACAAACTTTTATACCTGTTAAAGGATGTACCCCTACTAATACGAAGACGCATATGGTTCATGCATGATGGGGCTCAAGCACATTTAAGCCACATTGTTCGCGACGCATTGGCTGGCATCTACCATGAAAGATGGAGAGATAGGGGAGGACCAGTTCCATGGTATGCACATTACTCCAATGTCAATCCTTTGGATTTTTATCTGTGGGGCCACCTAAAACAATTGGTTTATGCAGCAGACAATAATTCACAGATGCTTCATGTACGTGTCATGGGGGCCTGTGAAAGTATACGACACTGTGCGGGAGTATTTGAAAGGTACCACCAGTAAATGGTCCGACGGGTGCATGCGTGTGTAGAAACAAGCGGAGGACATTTTGAACATTTATGAGTTTCTGTGTTCAAGTGTAATGATAGACTTTTGAACATATGTTTATATGAACTTTTGTCCTTGTTTTGGTGTCAGGAAGTCGTCCCCCAAAATTCTGATACACCATATATATATATATATATATATATATATATATATATATATATATATCAGTGTGGGGGGTACAAAAGTTTTATTAAAGCTTTAAAAGCGGTCATTTTAAAATTATGGGCTGATCTTAGCTGATACGCGCTGATCAATCCTAATCTCAGGGGGCAGTTTGAAAATTTGCATTGGTTTGTCAATACTTCCGGTTTTACTGTTGCCGGACAATTAATAAATGTTCCGATTTGTGCCTCGTTTTTTAACATCTGAGAGAATTCTTAAGACCTTTTATATTAAGTCGAAGCAGCCTGTCCTCTGTAAGCAGAAGAAATAGCTGCTGGTTCTAAATTTAATAGGTCTGTTATTTATACTGCTCATTGTCTAGAAGTACTTTTCCCCTTTTTTAGTCATTGTGCGCATGTTTTTTGTCTTCGGATGGTTTTGAAGATCAAGGGGCGATAACCGGTTAGCCTTTTTTATGTTATTATCGTATTTTATAGAGTTATATATATATAAGAGAAATTAAAAAATACCCCATATGTATAGCTATTTCACCCCACAAGAATTACCTTGCAAGGGGTTAGGAAATAAAATAAAACAAAAAGGTAGTTTAAAAATTTTAAACTTTAAAGAATCAAGAAAGAAGAAGATATGCTCTGCCATAATAAATACAATGAGATCTCTTTGTTGATCAGTTTTAATATTTTATATTATCAGGATTCACTTGGATTATTTACCTACGTGTATGTATGTATATATATATATATATATATATATATATATATATATATATATATATATATATATCATACATTTTCAAGGTGGTGTTTGATTTAACCGCTCTTCTTCCTCTCAAGTTATTACACCAATCATATTTACCACAACAAGATTAAAAAGGTTTATTTTACGAAAGAAGAATCAAATCAAAACACATTATATAAGTTGTAAGTTGACGGTGGAGTAGTGGATAGCGGCTCGGATTAAGGAACCGGGTTCGAATTCCAGTCGAATCCATAACATTCACTTACGCGCCAATACCTTTGGGAAAGATATGAATCTTCTACTTCTCCCTCCAGCTATGGATAAATAGTAAGACAGACCGGGTTCTATAGCCTTGGATGGCAACCTACTGCGGGAAAAAATCTGCCTCGTCAGTCATGTATCGAAAGATACATGATCGCCTTAGCGTGTATCACGCATGGCGCATAACTGACTGACCGATGTTGAACTTATTCTGACACAAGGCTATATTTATGGAGCACCCAGTGACCATCGATCTCACCGGAGAAATGATAACAGTAATGATCTAAAAGACTCGCTCTATAGCGAATCGCCTACTGACACCATATATCGTCTCCGTCGTACCACGCACACACGTACGCATGTTGTGCGCATGCGCACAGCGTTGTTCGCATTTCTTTGAAGCAAGCAATATTTATTAAACATTATCTTTATTGTTTTCAGTACTGACACATACTTCATACATACTCACACTTGTATATGATTAAAAGATAATTTTCCATAAAAAAAACAAAAAAGAAAAAAACGCTTTAATCTATTCCATTTGTAGCATTCACAAATTTTGAATATTTATTTTG